CGAACTGGATTTAAACTGTACTGTACCACTGGTGCTTTCGCGTCGGGCATTGTTTCCGCTGCTGTCGGGGATGATGGTTCTGTTTGGGTGTGGGGGAAGTCAAAACGCGGTCAACTCCCTTGGCAAACATGTCACTGAGGCTATTGTGCCTACCAAAATGGAAGCACTTTCTGGAGAGAACGTAGCCAAGGTTTCGTTTGGATGGGGGCATGCTCTTGCTCGAACTTCGGATGGAAAGTTGCTCGAACCTAATTGTTTAAAGCTGGTACATTTCTTAAAATTAGTTAAAATCAGTTTATTTCTTAAAATCAGTTTTAAAACTGGTTTGGTTTTGAAACTGGTTTTAAACCGATTATAAACCTGTTTATTAAAATAATTCAGTTTTAAATCGATTTATTAAAGTGGTTCAAATGGTTTATAAACTGGTTCAATTTAATAAAATGGTGTGGTTCGGTTCAATGTGGTTTTTTGGAAAAACCAAACCATGCACACCCCTACTTTGGGCATGAGATAACTATTCTCAAACCTCCTTTTTGTTGTATGCATTGCATGAGAAAGAAATCATATTTGTGTCTTATCTTGTGTTTCTATTTATCATATGATTCTTCCATACTCTAATTGATGCTATTGACTCTTATATGTTTAATTACACGTATTAACTAATTTTGTGAATCTTGGATTACTCATGACTTATTGTGGGAATTCTAATGGAACTATGTTTTGGCATTGTAAGAGGAAATTGGTATGAGCATGTGGATTTGAGTAATTGATGACTTAATTGTATAATAATAGACTTTAATTTGACATCTTACCTATTGGATTGGGATTAAAGGTGTTAATGGATGGTGTAGGGAGGGTTAGAAACCTATGAGTAGAATAATATTGAGTTTTGAACTATCATAACTCTCTTTATGAGACCTTAGACTTGTTCTAAGTGAATTTTGTTCACTTTAAGTGACCTTGTGAATAAGTTTGAAAGTAGTGATGATAAATGACTTACTTTTTAAGTGTTTAATCTTATGAATGGTTTGATATACCTATATTAAAGTTTAGGAAAGAGAAATCATGAGACAAAATAATTGTGAATAAATTCTTTATTGAAGATGCCGATATAAATTCTACAATTTTACAAAAAAAAAAATCCACAAAAAATTGTTATCAAAATAAAGTTTTTTCAATTCATTTCCTATAATTTATTTTTAACAAAATGGTGCGTACAAAAGTATAAAAAAGTACGAATGATTATAAATATTAAATATTTTTTTCATATAATTTTATCCATAATTTCAAATTCTTTTAAGTAAGAATTAAATACTTTTTAAAGCTATATCAGTTAATTTGAATATACAATTGAGTTTATTATTATTATTATTATTATTATTATTATTATTTACCCAATTGACTTCAATTTTTCATTCTATACAAATTTAATATTATTTCTAACATTATTATATGATAACATATCACTTATATTAGCTTAAATATTTTTTAATTTATGTAAAATGAATGTATTAATGTATCTAAATCACTAATTTTGTTCCAGAAACTCCTCCTAATAACTTATATTTTTAATCTATGTAACATTTACTTTGAGAGTTTATAAAAACATTTAAAGATGTTACAAATCAATAGGACCTCAATAACATCTAAAATAGTCATTTAACGGTTAAAAATAATTATATAATAATATAAATAAAAAAACAATAATTCTAAATTTTATAAAAAAATTAATTTTTTATAAAAATTAAAATTAAAATTTATTCATTTTATAAAAACAAATATCACATTTAAACTTTATTATACTTGCATATGCATCGCTAGAGAATTTTTTATTTTTTAATCTTTTTTACAGGCACGGTTCACAATGCTAGGAAGTGTGAGGTGTGTTCATTTCTGTGTTAATAACAATTACAAATCCCTAGAACTAAGAAATTGTGCAAATTGGCGTTTCTCACTCTAACTCTGTCTTGCATGAGCGCTCAACAAGGTCGTGACTGTACTTTTTTAATCTCTTCTTACTTGTTTTTCTTTTATTTTTGCCCACAAGCTGTTTGTGTTTATGCTTTCATTGTTTCTCCTCAATTTGGAATTGCAGAGCGTTGTGGATTCCCATGTTTTCTCAGAAGCAGAACGGTGCGTTTAGTGAAGTATCTGCTACTTGAATCATATGGCTCGAACTCGAAAGAAGAGCAATGCTGCCAGAAAGCTTACTAAGCGCCAGGTAAAAATAATGTCTTTTATGCTTCATTTCATTCAATGTATGTTTAAATTTCTATACTTTTTGATCACTGTCATTACTCTTATTCCTTTTTTAATGACTAGTTTCAAATTTCGATACAAGATTTGTGTGGTATCTTTGAATATTTTGTATGCTATAGGAATGGTGGATTTGAAAGCCCCATGAACTCTTAAATAACAAAAAAAGGAATATAAATCTTGATTTGAATCAATATAATTGCATGAAGGTGATTTTTAAGTGAGAATGCTGATTTATTATGGAAAATAATGTTTTACAGAATTTTGTCCACGTTTTCTGCCTCCAAGTTGGAGGAGTTAAAGACTGTGTTGGTGTGATTTCATAGGAAGCATGTACGGTGTCTCTTGTAATCTATTTAGTTTAGCTGCCTCAAGCTTTAGCAGAAGATTTTCTTTACCTGAATATGATACAGATTAAATTAACCACTTTATTAATTATATAAGAAGCTTCAGTAGTAGATGGTATAAAACAATAGATAATAAACTAAATATTTAAACCAAAATACATGTTAAACCAATATTTTCTTTACATGAATATATAATATACATTAACTTTGAAGATTAGGAAAATGAAATAAGTTTAGCACACAAATCACTATCCCTGTAATAAAATGGGTAACAAAGAAATATGTTTTAAAGATTTGATTGAAATAGGATATAAAGAGCATGTTTGGTTTATCGTTGAATTTCGTTAAACAGAGTAAACACACATTCCAAAGCACCAAACTGAGAAGCAACATTTTTTATCTTTTCCGTTGAACGTGATTTTGTGGGTTTTGGATGGTAAACCAAACACACACAAAATGGTTTGAAAATTTGAGTTTAGGGGAATCGTGATTTCTAGCAGAATATAGAAGTGATTTCTGTTGAAATCTTTCGTACTGTAAGAATAGATTATACCTCATTGAGGTTCTGCTGCTGCATATTAATATGGAAGAATGTTAGTGAGGTTTGAAGTCATCCGTTTGGTTTCATGTTTGAAAATAGAACTGTTATGGTGCTGTAGCTGTTAGAACTATATTTATACAGAACTATTGAATTGTACTCATTTTGTGATTTGATTCACAGTTTTGGCTTTCTAGAAGGCTATTAAAAAGTTTCTATTACATGAAATCTCGTAGCAGGACATATATCAATAAAATTAGATAGTTTGGTAATGATAACTTTGGGAGATTACATGAGATAGTAACTGATGGCATGAATTTGGTTGCTGAAAGGTATAAGAGTTAATTTCCACGTGCTATGTGCTCTTTCCAGGTCTTTTCTGTGTTTATTCTTGACACGGGGGCTATTTTTTCTTTTTGAAGCTTATAAACTGGTTTGAGTCATTTGATTGGGTCATATGCATCAAGTTGCATTTTAAAGCTCAATCTTGCATGCTGTCAAAGTTTTAGCAATCGTTACTCATTTATTAAAAACTTCTAGACACATTAGATTTGAGTACCGATTTTTTCTTATAACCCTGAGACATACATCTTTCAATACACAGAATTTCTAATTTCATCTCCTTACCTTTCCGAAGTCAATGTAAATTCTGCCCACTTGAAGTACTGATAGCATCCATTCATTCAGCCCAGGTTGCTTATACTTATCCATTTGATGCAAGATCTGTCCCACTAGGAAGTTAAGAGTTAGAAGTACCTAAGATTTTCATGGTTTAAGGCAAATAGATGCAGTCCAAGTTTCTACTCCAAGGTTCTAGTAAGATTCTATTTCTTACACCACCTGTCTTGTATGCATAAATGCATTTTGTTCTGATCATTGGTAACTCATTTACTTTATTTACTCCATTCTTTTGAATTTTTTTCTTCTTCTGAATGTTATTGTTATTCAAATGGAATTTCTGATGAATTTTCTGCTTAATAATCATCCCAACATAGTTTGCATTGTTAATTTTGTGTTATTACAGATGGCACTGGCTGAGAAAGATCTGAATAAAGGAAAAGATACTACGAGCCATCGTAAGAAACAACGCACTACACGTCCGGCACAGATGACTTCTCAAATTCCACCATGTGCTTCATCACATGCAATATCTTGTCCTTCTGAACCACCTCCTCGAACATCTGATGTGAGGCCTACACCTTTAATACAAGGGGCACACTCACCATGTACTTCACAGCCAACAAATTCTGATGCAGGACGTACCCATAGATCGTTTGTTGCATTAGAGACACAAGGCAATGATGGCAAGCCAATTATATATCTTGTTGTACAAGGGTATGTTCTGTTTTATTATTTATTTCACTTTTGTTTTTCAAAATTGTGACCATTTATACGTAATGTATTGTTTGCAGATTCTTACCTTCTCGTCCTGTTGCTAATGAGATTGGGGATATGCTCAATTGTCATTATATTGATCCCTGGCCATCATGGAAGGAGATACCAATTAGTACAAGAGCCTTGTGGCTCAGGGAGTTTTTGGTTAGGTTTCACATGTTAATTATAATGTTTAATTTGGATATTTATATTTAGTCTACTTTTAGCTAACTCGTTTTCTTCTATATGTAGAGAAAGTTTTCTATTAGTCCACCAAATTACGATTTGGCAAAAAAGAATTTTGAAATGCAAGGTGCAACAATGATGAAAAATATTCTACATGAGGCTCGAACCACAATGAATAAACCAAATTGGATTAAAGGTGTCTGGGAGAAGTTATGTGAGCACTGGAAATCTGAAGATTTAAGAAAAATGAGTGTAGAAGCAAAATCAAATGGGGCATCTCATTGTTGAGGCTTTGGAAGGTCATTTCACACTGGTGGCTCTTTTACCGCATCAAATCGTAGAGCTAATATGGTTCTGTTGTCACTTAATAGTTAATACCCTTTATTGTGTTCTTTATCTCATTAATTAGATTAATAATCCCTTTAACCTAAAAACCAACAAGTTCTTAACTTGTATTCTTTTTTCTATTTTAGAGTAAAGAGACTGGAACCCCTCTTCATCACAATGACAATACATGGGTGGATTACAGGTAGATGAAATTTTCTTGTAGATTTTACTATTTCATTAATTGATGCATATTTTCTTATATTTTTATTTAAGCTTATATCAGACATTTCAGTTTTTATCAATTTTTTTCTTATTTATAATTTTTCAAAATTTTCACTTTTTTATTTTTACAATTTTAAATTTTTTATTTTTTTATTATTGGGCTGCCAGATCTTAGTCCCCAAGCTAAGGGTGTGTTTGAAAAAATTTTAAAAATTAGATTATTTCAATAATTAGTTATTGCTATAATCGATTATAATCAAAATGAAATTTTATTTGGATAAGTTAACTCAAATGTGATTTTAAGATGTTTAATTTCATTTGGATACAGCAAAACAAATCAGTTTGTGTAGTAAATTAACTTTGAAGGAAAAAAGCTTTTGAGAAATAATTAAAAGTTTCAAATTTTCAGCTTTATAAAAATAACTTATTTTTCAAGAAAAAAAAGTTGTTTGCAAGTTTAAGCTGTTGTCCAAACTGCTCCTCTCCCTTTTCGTCTCTCTTTTTCTCTCACCCACCAAACCCCGCCACCTCCCACGTTTCATCCCCTTTCCATCCAGATTTCATTTTTTCTTCACTCCCCACACTTTTGAACAAACAAGCACCCATTTTTGTCAGCTTTTCAAGGTAATGTTCCCATTTTACCTCTCTCTCTCTTCATTGCATGAAGAACGCTTCTATGTTCTTCTTCTTCTTTGAACTCCTTCTATGAGTCTTGGCATTTTTGGATTGAAATGTACAAATTTTTTAGTGTTTAAGCATACATTATGGGACATGCATGATCATCCACATTCTATGCCTGCTTTGTGTTCGAAGAAACGCTTGAATGAGAGGAGTATTTAATTTGAATGCAATGAGCACACTAGAAAAACTGATCATTCAACTGTTCCCTTGTAGTGATAAAATTTAAGACTTGAATGACAAGAATGCACTTGCATGTTGTTCTTCTCTTTCTCATATCTACCAAGTGCATGATCAAATGCTTGAGTGAATATGTGTTCGTTGTTTAAAATTTAAAATGCAAAATCATTGTGGTGGATTGATAATTCTTGCTATTATTGGTTGGTTGGTGGTTGCTGTACCCGTAAAGCTTTTCCTTGGAAAACTTGACTGATTTTGTTATAGAAAAATTTTCCAAGCAACAATTTTGGGGCTTTCAAAGTGTTGCATGTGTTGTGTATAAATGATTGTCAATGAGTTTGTAATTTCCATGCATGCGTTGTGTACAATTTTAGGGCCGATGGAAATGTGCTTATGATCTCATGTAGTACAATGTTTAGCAATCATTCCTTTTGCCCCATGAAGAATTGTATGATCAACTTGTGGAGTAACTTGGTTGCAAGAATGATTTTAATTTTCAGATGCCACGCTCAAGAGGTGGTGGTTCTCAACCAACCCACAAAATTCCAGCTGATCGTAAACGAAAGAAAGTGGTTGCGTCTACTCCAGATTCATCTTCATCTTCATCTTCTAAGGAAGAAGCAACACCTACACTCTCACAACCTCAACAACCTCCAAGAGGATTCGCTTTCTTATCCAACAGATTCCAGAACAAATTTAAACAACAAAGATTTATAAATCTGGAGGGCAGACACATCATTGCTGAGAGACCGGTTGTTGATTTTCTTCCTTTGTTGGACTTTAGTCATGAAGTCATCAGAAGAAAGTGGACAAAGATATGTCAACCCAAAGAAAAATATAATGCAATCTTGATCAGGGAGTTTTATGCTAATGCCTACCCAAATAAACCATATTCAAAGGATTGAACCTCTTGGGTGAGAGGCAAGTCCATTTCTTATGATCCAAAGACCATCAATACATTCTTGCAGACTGATTACACTATTCCAGTGGAAGACGACTATAGGAAATTAATGAAAACTGCAATAAATGAGGAAATGTCTAATTTGATGCTTACTCTGAGCCTTCCAGGGAGTCAGTATCAAACTGGTACCAAAAATCAATCCACCCATATCCTCAGAGCGGATTTGAAGTCTATTGTCAAGTTATGGCAAGCAGTTTTGTACAGTAATGTCATCCCTCTTACCCACTACTCTGACATTACTATTGCTTGTGCGAAGTTAATCTTTTGTATCTTGCAGCACAAAGATGTGGACATAGCTACATTAATCTCCGTTGACATTCATGCTATTGTCTTCTCTAAACCTTCCAAATTAGGAGTTGTATGGCCCTTGGCCTTTCCTGGACTAATCACTGGCCTTTGCAAGGCAAAAGGAGTAGTTATTCCCCAACCCCTGATTCCCATCAAGAGGAAGATTGACCATCTGTTTGTCAAAGCCCGATGCTACAACTGAAGAGAGTTTCCTTGGTCATCTGACAGAACCCGCCCACCTCCACCACCGGTTGCCTCACCCTCGGTTCCCCCAACTAGTCCTTTTAATTTCTCTACCATGCAGGCTTATATGGACAATCATTTATACATAACACATGCAACACATTGACCCTAAAACAAAACAACTGAAATTAAAATGACTGGAATTTAAAATGGCATAAAATTAAAATGGAACTTCTCTTCCTCAGAAAGTGGGTGATAGTGACCCTTCATCTTCTCCTTCTTCATCATTGTCTTCTCTTTCATCAACTTGTTCTCCTTTTGAATCCATCACTTGCTCTCCATCATGTGGCTGTGCATCACCACTTCCCCCTCCTGAAAAGGTAGGACTGTCCCCAGGCCAAAGAATTGCGTCTTGAATTTGCTCCGGTGTAGGCCAAGGATATAAGCTTCCACCGGTATCAGCCTAATGTAAAGTGTAATTGTAAAAATAAGAGTGCAGAGCCATCTGTCCTCGATGATTAGCGGCTTGTTGAAGTTGTACATGGCAGAGATGAGCCATTTCCAGTTGGTGGCGCTCCTCCATATGCTGAAATTGTTGCACCATATAAGCCTACATGGTAGAGAAATCAAAAGGACTAGTTGGGGGAACCAAGGGTGAGGCAACTAGTGGTGGAGGTGGGCGGGTTCTATCAGATGACCGAGAAAACTCTCTTCGTTTGTAGCATTGGGCATTGACAAACGAAACATCAACTAGGATCAGCTCCGCCTGCCAGCTGCAGACTCACCACTAGCCACCCACTTATCCCTGCTCTGCTCCCATACATAGTATGATCATCGCAGTCCAAACCACATGGAAACAACAAAGGGTAAGCTAGTATAAAAAGAACAACGTATAGCAAGATTTAAGTAATATGAACAACTACAACTATCAACACATCGTCAGCCTACATCTCATTGATTGTACAACAAACCAGCAAATGGAAAATAATGCGTCGTCACGCATATCATCTCGGAGATCTCCTACAACAACTCAGCCTTTCAGCCTTCAACAACTCAGCCATTAAGGCCTACAACAACTCAGCCATTATGGCCTACAACAACTCAGCCATTATGGCCTATAACAACTCAGCTATTATGGTTTACAACAACTCAGCCATTATGGCCTACAACAACTCATATCATCGTACAACACAGCACAACTTTACAGCACAACATATCATCTTACAGCACATCAAGACATCTTACAACAATATTTATCTGATACAACTCAACATCATCATACAGTATTATCTACTAGTCATCACTTCATGATCATCAACTTCAACTTAAACTCAACATAAAACAACTTCTAACAACATTTAGTGAAAGCACATCTCCGCGCCCGGCGCACTCGTGGTTGCACCCAGCGCGGTGCAACCAGAGAGCACCAGGGGGCCAGCGCGCCAAGCGCAAGCATGCCCGCGCCTGGCAGGACCCAGCCAGAGAGCCCCAGGCTCACGCGCCTGGCGCAATACCTATTGCGCCCAGCGCATGCCAGGCAGAGACTCCAAGGAGTCCCATGCACCCGGCGTGCCCAAACCTGTGCCCAGCTTGGGGAAGGCAGAGACCTCCCTTGGTCTCGCGCCCAGCGCAATTCGAATTGCACCCGATGCCCCCATGGTAGAGACTCCAAGGAGTCCCCGCGCCCAGTACGACCAAGATCGCGCTTAGCGCCATGCCAGAAGTCCAAAAATAAGTCACAACCGAAATCGCGCCCAGCGTGGTTCAACCCTCGCCCGGCTTGGGCCATCTAGAGGCTAACATCTTCAAGCACGCCCGACGCACACATCTTTGCGCCCGACAGGCTTGCCTAAATGCTGCCCTCAAGTGGCCACGCGCTCGGCACGAAGAACTGCGCTCAGCGCGAGTTCAGCAGCAAACCTCATATTTTCGAAATCTCTTCAAAAACCTGCAAAATAATCAGGAAATTCCACATGCAATCCATCCAAGATATCACATTTTCATCAAGCATTACGAAAAACACTTCATTTTCAACATGCAACCATCAAACAAGTAAAATCCCCAAAATTTGCACCCAAACCCCGGAAAACTCAAGAATGACAAATTCCTTCAATCACAGCCGAGAATCAACCACTTCAACAACTTATGAGTTGCTTGCACTCATTTGCAACCAAAAACAGCGAAGAAATTTAGCTTCCCTTACCTTTGTACGAAGATCCGAGCTCCGGGAAAAAGAAAATGGAGAAGGTGAAAGACGGGCAGAGAAACTTAACGGAGAAGAAAGAACCTTCAGTTAGCTTCCAACACAGTTATTCAGCACCTACACACCCAAGGATCCAGAGCAAAGGGGACCAAGGCAAAAAGGAAGAAAAGAGTGAGTATGAGAGTTGAGAGTTGAGGGTTCTTGAGTTTGGGGAAGAAAAGAAAAGGGAAGGGGTCTCACAAAAATGAAGAGGAGGATGACATCCAAGCCATTGCTAGAATTAAGAGACCTTCATCTACATCAAGTGAAGCCACTTCTGTTTCCAAGAGGAGGGGTATAAATGGCAAAGGTCCCCTTGATTTGCACTTTACTAGAAAGGCAGAAGAAAGTATCAAATTGAATAAGGGGTTGTGGCAAACAAGTTTAAATGATGCTTGTAACAAGGAAGCAAGAGCAAGGGTAATTCAATACATTGCTCGCTTTTTTTATCGGAATGGAATTGCATTTAATGTTGCTAGATCAAAGAGCTTCAAATTGATGGTTGAAGCTATTGGCACCTATGGTCCCCATTTAAAGCCACCAAGCTACCATGAATTAAGAGTGTCACTCCTTAAAAAAAGTTGGAATACACCAAGGACTTATTGAAGGGCCATGAAGAAGAGAGAGTAAAATATGGGTGCTCAATTATGTCTGATGGTTGGACAGATAGGAAAAGTAGAACTTTGATTAACTTTTTGGTTAATAGTTCAATGGGAACAATGTTTGTGAAGAGTGTAGATGCTTCTGAATATACCAAGACCGGTGAGAAGGTGTTTGAACTTTTAAATAGTTTTGTTGAGGAAATTGGAGAGAAAAATGTTGTTCAAGTAGTAACAGATAATGGAAGCAATTATGTTATGGCGGGTAAGAATCAATTATATTCTAATTTTATACTCATACGATTATAAGATATAAATTCTAATTTTAATTATTTTGTTATTGTGTTTTTAGGCAAAATTTTACAAACTGTGAGACCACATTTATTTTGGACTCCATGTGCTGCTCATTGTCTTGATTTGATGCTAGAAGATATTGGAAAGATCCCTAAAGTCAAAAGGGTAATACAAAGAGGCATCAAGCTCGTGGGTTACATTTATAATCATACCTTGACCCTAAACACCATGAGGAAGTATACAAATAAGGTTGAATTGGTGAGGCATGGAGTTACAAGATTTGCTACCACCTTCCTTACTTTGCAACGATTGCATAAGTTAAAGGAAAATTTTAGAAGGATGTTTACTTCCGACGAATGGTTGCAATCAAAAGGAGCCAAAGAAGCTAAGGGGAAGAAAATATCGAATATTGTTCTTATGCCTACATTTTGGAGTGATGTTGTTTATGCTTTAAAGGCTATGGGGCCTATTGTACACGTGTTGAGGTTGGTAGATAATGAAAAAAAACCGGCAATGGGTTACATTTATGAAGCAATGGAGAGGGCTAAGGAGGCAATTCAAAATTCTTTTAATCATAATGAAGAAAAATATAAGGATATATTTGCAATTGTTGATAGAAGATGGGATTGTCAACTCCATCATCCGTTGCATGCAGCAGGATATTATCTAAATCCTGAGTTTTATTACAAAAATTCAACAAGAATGGATGCTGATGATGAAGTGGTGGATGGCCTTTTCAAATGTATTGATAGGCTTTGTGAAAATAATGACATTGTAGACAATGTTCACATTGAGTTTTATTATAAAAATTCAACAAGAATGGGTGCTGATGAAGTGGTGGATGACCTTTTCAAATGTATTGATAGACTTTGTGAAAATAATGACATTGTAGACAATGTTCACAATCAATTGGCAATATATAAAAGGGCAGGAGGAAGATTTGGCATTCCTGCAACAGTTAGAGCAAGGGTTAAAATGGCTCCTGGTAAGTGGGACTTTTCTTAAGCTTCAACTTCACTTACAAATTTTATAGTTATTTGATAATTTATTTATATAATAATATTTGCATTTATAGCTGAGTGGTGGAAGATGTATGGAGGACATACACCACATTTGCAAATTGTTGCCATTAAGGTACTAAGCTTGACTTGTAGCTCATCTGGTTGTGAGCATAATTGGAGTACCTTTGAGCATGTAAGTTAATGAATTAATGGATTTTATTATTAAAAATGGAAAATTAACTAACATCACGTTCTTAAATTATTATAGATTCACTCAAAGAAGAGAAGTAAGCTTGAGCACCAAAAGCTTCAAGACTTGGTTTTTATTAAATATAATCAAGCTCTTCAAGAACGCTTTGAGTGTCAAGATCCAATTGATCCAATTGCTTTAAATGAAGTTGATGATAACAATGAATGGATGTTGGGAGAAGAAAATGATGAGGATGAATTTGAAGATGACTTGGTGTTTGATGATGATGTTTTGACTTGGAGAGATGTTGCCCAAGCAAGTGGTGCCGGTGAACCTTTGAAATACACTAGGAGACAAACACAAGTGAACAAGACATCAACAATTGCATCTACATCCAAGAAAGATAAAGGAAAAAAAGTGATGGAAGTACTAGAAGACGAGGATGATGATGTAGAGGAAGAAGAAGAATATAATTCTAATGCTAGTGGGAGTGATGAATTTGAGGGAGAGGAAGACTTTAATCTTGATGAGGAAGAAGATTAAACTATAATGTTTAATTTTTTACTTACTTAGAGCTTTAACACTTTGTTTTGGAGACATTTTATATTATGTATTGTTTGAGTACTATGAACTTTTAATTATTAAAAATGTTTAATGCATGAATTTAGAGTTATTTTTTTGTTTTTTTTAGCTTTTATATATATATTATTAATTATTTAATATATATAAATTAATATTAAAATAGCGGTTATCCCGCTCCGCGTCATCCCGCTATCCTAGTTTTAGGGTCGATCGCTCCGTTCCGCTATCCGGGATTGACTACTATGGTCCTGTAAGCCCATAAGGTATCATCCAACTTCATTGCCCAATCCTTCCTTGAATTTGCAACTGTTTTCTCCAAAATCTTTTTCAGTTCCCTATTTGAGACCTCTGCTTGACCATTGGTCTAGGGATGGTATGGGGTAGCTACCTTGTGCCTTACTCCATAGTGCTTAAGCACTTTTCTCAGTTGAATGTTTCAAAAATGAGTTCCACCATCACTTATGAGCACCCTAGGCATGCCAAACCTACAAAACACATTTTTCTTCAAGAACCTGATTACAGTCTTGGCATCAGCCTTCTGAGTAGCACTTGCTTCAACCCATTTTGATACATAATCCACAGCCAGAAGTATGTATTCATTTGAATATGAAGATGGAAGTGGGCCAACAAAATCAATCCCCCAACAATAAAAAATTTCCACTTCTATGATACTTTGCAGAGGTAACTCATGTCTCTTAGAAATTATCCCTGTTCTTTGAAACTTATCGCAGCTCTTGCAATGTTCATATGCATCTTTGAACAAGGTTGGCCAATAAAATTCAGATTGGAGAACCTTTGCTGCTGTTCTTTCTCCATTATAATGTCCTCCATAGAGTGAGTTATGACAATGCCAAAGAATATCTCTGATCTCAGCCCCATAGACACACCTCCTTAGTAGACCATCAACACCTATCTTAAACAGATACGGATCATCCCAGACATAGTAATTAGAATCTCTAAAGAACTTCTTCCTTTGTTGCCAGTTATACTCTTCCGGAACAACCCTAGCTACTTTATAATTGGCCATGTCAGCAAATCAAGGTCTTTCAACTACTGCAAACAACTGTTCATCAGGATATTCTTCTAAGATTTCTTCTTCTTGACTAGTCACATGCTCATTGACAAGTCTTGATAGGTGATCAGCAACATGATTCTCACACCCCTTTTTGTCTTTGATTTCTAGATCAAATTCTTGTAATAGAAGAATCCACCGGATCAATCTAGGCTTTGAATCTGCTTTTGTCAACAAATACTTAATGGTAGCATGGTCAGTGTAAACAATGATCTTTGAACCCATAAGGTAAGAACGAAATTTTTTTAATGCATACACTATGGCAAGTAACTCTTTTTCAGTTGTTGCATAGTTAACTTGATTTTCATTCAACACCTTACTTGCATAGTGAATAACATGAAAAATTTTATCCTTTCTTTGGCCTAAAGCAGCTCCTATAGCATAATCACTAGCATCATACATTAATTCAAAATCAAGTTTCCAATTAGGAGCTGTGATTATAGGAGCTGAAACAAGCTTACTTTTTAACAGTTCAAAAGCCTGTAAACAATCATTATCAAAATCAAACTTGTTATTTTTAAGAAGAAGGTTACTGAGAGGCTTAAAAATAACAAGTTTGATTTTGATAATGATTGTTTACAGACTTTTGAACTGTTAAAAAGTAAACTTGTTTCAGCTCCTTTAATCACAGCTCCTGATTGAAAACTTGATTTTGAATTAATGTGTGATGCTAGTGATTATGCTATAGGAGCTGCTTTGGGCCAAAGGAAGGATAAAATTTTTCATGTTATTCACTATGCAAGTAAGGTGTTGAATGAAAATCAAGTTAACTATGCAACAACTGAAAAGGAGTTACTTGCCATAGTATATGCATTAGAAAATTTTCGTTCTTATCTTATGGGTTCAAAGATCACTGTTTACACTGACCATGCTGCCATTAAGTATTTGTTGATAAAAGCAGATTTAAAGCCTAGATTGATCCGGTGGATTCTTCTGTTACAAGAATTTGATCTAGAAATCAAAGACAAAAAGGGGTGTGAGAATCATGTTGCTGATCACCTATCAAGACTTGTCAATGAGCAGGTGACTAGTCAAGAAGAAGAAATCTTAGAAGAATTTCCTGATGAACAGTTGTTTGCAGTAGTTGAAAGACCTTGGTTTGCTGACATGGCCAATTATAAAGCAGTTGGGGTTGTTCCGGAAGAGTATAACTGGCAACAAAGGAAGAAGTTCTTTAGAGATTCTAATTACTATGTCTGGGATGATCCGTATCTATTTAAGATAGGTGCTGATGGTGTACTAAGGAGGTGTGTCTATGGGGCCGAGATTAGAGATATTCTTTGGCATTGTCATAACTCACCCTATGGAGGACATTATAATGGAGAAAGAATAGCAGCAAAAGTTCTCCAATCTGGATTTTATTGGCCAACCTTGTTCAAAGATGCATATGAACATTGCAAGGGCTGTGATAAGTATCAAAGAACAGGGACAATTTCTAAGAGACATGAGTTACCTCTACAAAGTATCATAGAAGTGGAAATTTTTTATTGTTGGGGGATTGATTTTGTTGGCCCACTTCCATCTTCATATTCAAATGAATGCATACTTGTGGCTGTGGATTATGGATCAAAATGGATTGAAGCAAGTGCTACTCAGAAGGCTGATGCCAAAACTGTAATCAGGTTCTTGAAGAAAAATGTGTTTTGCAAGTTTGGTACTCCTAGGGTGCTCATAAGTAATGGTGGAACTCATTTTTGAAACATTCAACTGAGAAAAGTGCTTGAGCACTATGGAGTAAGGCACAGGGTAGCTACCCCATACCATCCCCAGACCAATGGTCAAGCAGTGGTCTCAAATAGGGAACTGAAAAAGATTTTGGAGAAAACAGTTGCAAATTCAAGGAAGGACTGGGCAACGAAGTTGGATGATACCTTATGGGCTTACAGGACAGCATTTGGGTTTTGGAGTCTCTCCAATTGTCTAAGCCTTCTTGTTCTACTGTTGTTCCTCCTTGCCATTCTTTCAATTTCAGGGTCAAAATGTAATTCCTCGGCTAGAGTCTTCCCTCGCATACAAATTCAAGAAGTCTGCACAGCGAGGTGAGTCCACAAAACACAACAAGACAAATATATCTATATATTATAAATATTCACAGAATAAATTATTTACAAAATTACAAGAACAAGAATTACTAAATAAGACCAACTTCCCGGCAACGGCGCCAGAAACTTGATGAGGTTTTTGATAACACTCCACTTGGCAAGGAGACCAAGTTTCGTTGTAGAAATACAGTATCGTCTTCAGGGATTTGAGAGTTTAGTAATTCTTACTCTAATGATTAATAAAGAGATGTTGATATAATTAAGAGTGAACTAATGTGAAGTAAATTTGAAACGATAATGCAAAAGTTATAAGAACAATTATATGAAACAAGGATTGGATCATGGGGCACTTGCTAACCCTTAAATTTTCTTAAAATAAATATGATTTCAATTTCATTACCTCGACGTTTATTTAGTAATCCAACAAGATTCTTCAAAGTTGAATCCTAAAGTGATTAATCTAAAACATGATTCCTCTATGTTTTGAGTTTAACACTTTGCATTAAGACCAATGACTTGAACAAGGGTGACTAACCAAATCAAGTCTATTCCTAGAATAAGAGATGGTCAGGTGCAAGATACAGTTTGGGTTTTCAAAAATGTTTTCCAACATGATTCAAAACCCAAAAATTCATACAACGGTTGATCAAGCCGATATAAGCATCAAGAGTAGAATCAAACACAAGTAATGAGAATGAAATACATATAGATTTAAGAGATAGAAGAGTTAGTAGTTATACCAAGACTAATTCTCCACACATGGCCATTACAAGATCAGAGAAGCAAAAAAAGAGATTACCAAATGAAAGATGAAGACAAGGGGTTGGACTTCGTTCCCAAATGCTCCAGCTTCCAATCTTCGTTCTTGCTCTGTTTTTCCCTTCTCCATAGTCTAAATCTTGTTTTTCCTCCTTGGTTACGTGATGATCCCTTTTCCCCTTTGTTTTTTCCCTTTTATATTAGCTTCAAAACAGGGTACAAAATGTGATTTTTCCCTCACTGCTGCAGCTGTGGCTTCACAATTATGGCTGTGGAGAGTTCTTCATGGTGAAGTAAGCTTCACCGCTGCAGCTGCGATTTCACAGCCATAGCTGTGAAAATCCTTCAAACTTAAGGAATCTCCAATGTTGTAGCTGTGAATTTCACAGCTATGGTTGTAACTCTCTATTTCTTTTGCTGGATCCTTGGTGTTCCATGGCTTTAGCTGTAGACTCACATCTTTAGCTTCAAGTCTCTGTTTGATTTTTTTTCTTTCCATACTTCCACAGCTATAGTTGCAGAACCACAACTATAGTTGTAACTTTCTGACTTCCTAATTCCTCCCCAAATTTTTCACAACTTTAGCTCCAGAACCATAACTATGGCTGTAGAATTCTGTCTTCTCAAATTTCCTGCAAAAAGGGAGGGAAATCATTAAAATTTTTCTACTACTCTTCTATCTATTTAATATAACTTGATTCTTTCAATTTAGGGGTAAAATATCATATATATATCTACAATTTATCCAAAAAAGAGTACCAAAAGTTGAGTGTAGTTCATGAATAAAAGACACTCAACATTTTCCCAAACATACAGATTTTTCTTTACAAACAACTTTTATCTCCAAAAACAGCTGAATTGGGAGATTTTAATCTCTCCCTAACACCCTCTAAGGACTGATTGTGGTCTGCGTAAAATGAGCTCCATTTAGTAAGTGGGTCAGTAGGGTGTAGTCTATTTAAATGCAGAGTTGACTTATATAAAGCCTATTTGAATACAAGCTTAAAATGTTTTAAGAGCTTTTCTATTGGAAAAGAAAACTTTTGTTTTTATTAAAAAAGCACTTATGAGCCTGTATCCAAACAGACTTATATTCATCATCTATAGGTGGATAGGACATCACAACATGTAAATGTAATGAACTCTCACCTTTATAATCGTGTAATTGTTTATGGTGTTGTTTTATTCTATTTTGGTTTTATGAAACACTTATCAGGCTTATATCGGTGATGACAGGAGGATTTTACACGCACATTACAACAATTGACCAAAAGTGCACTTGAGCAAGGAAATCCTCCACCAAGTGAGTTAGATGTGTGGTGTGATGTAGTTAGAAGGACGAAAGGAAAACCATATGGGCTTGCGATTGAATCAATGGTGATGGCTGGAAGGCCTTGCTGTCATGGCTCATCTTCATCAATGGAGTGGGTAAAAAGACAAGAGTTTGATGAATTGAAAAAAGAAATGAAAGAAATTAGAAATAAGCTACGAACCAGACTTGCAAACATTGAGAGGCTTGCTGAGCACAACAACACATTGATACGAGAATTGATGGAAAATATGAACATGTCTCTACAATAAAGTCAAGATAAGGATGAGATAGTCATTAAGTGAACCATAGTGACTCGTTGATACTGATTTACCTTTAATGTAATTGTGTCACGATGACAAATGTTTTGTACTTTGGTATTAAGTATTCATACATTAACCTTATCAAATGTTATACTTTAATTTGTATTTTGTTATATATAGAGGTTCATTTACTTTAATGTATTTTGAAATGTTATTCCATATATATATATATATATATATATATCAAGTTCACAAAATAGAAATTAAATATATTTTAAATTAATTAGATTACCAAAAAAAATTAAAAGACAAAATATGACCAATTTACTGATGGATTCTCTTGAGTAACCAATAAAATTGGTTACCAAGTTGGTCAAGAATTTTTTCTTTTTTCATGGGGTGATTTTTACTAGTCAAACATTATTAACATAGATAAAAATTGAATTTTGGGATTGTTAAATTGAATATTGTATTTAAGGACAAACTTTACAATCGTTAGATCAAAAGATATTTAACTAAATTGATTAATAAAGATATCTTTAAATCAATTTTTAAAATTGATTTTTAACTATAATTTTTAAATTGATTTTTGAAATAACAACTGATTATAATTTTTAAATATGTTGTTCCGTGATTGATTTGCTTACTTTATTGGCTGAAAAATTGGTTAAATTGGTTTTCAAATGACAATTTTTCTTGTAATGATAGAGGTTCCATCGATCTGTACAAATTTTTCTTAATTGCCTCCAATAGCTACCATATGTTGGATACTGAATACGCAATTTTAGTTGCATCATAGGAAATAAATATAAGCTTATAGCACATAGAATAAGGAGCTTACTTATAAGAGTAAACTCGTTTTAGAATTTCACCAAATTGCAGGTAAACATCATGTTTTTTCTACCTTTTACAGCAACTTGCCTTGGGTTGTTTCAACTCCATTTAAATATTACATTAATTTCCCTGCATTGTTTAAACAATATTGCATTATGTCTCTTTATAGGAGACGTTGTAAACGTTAAAATAAAAAGGTTGTGTAATTTTATAAAACCTCGTGCTAGCGTAATTTACATTCACGTGTTTTTATAATCTCTCTGGCTAATTCAGGTGAAGAAACTGCAACATTTGTTAACTCTCCCTCTGTGGGTGTATTAAGGGCCATATTTGTTTGCCATATGTTTCTGTAAGGAGTGATGTGGTAGGGAGCCACCAAACCGATGTAAGTTCCCTATAAGAGGTAACTTCCTTGGTCCTGGGGCAAATATTTTGGTGGGGCTTTTGGTATTTGATTGATTGCTTGAAAATTGTATTTTGTACTAATACCAAAATAGGAAGCAAAAGATGAGGGAAGTGTGCAAAGCTCCATATGATATTCACCAGAATGCTATGTGGCTAAGTTTGCAGAATAAAAGCTCTCAACAGAAAATAGTTTACTTTGACTGATATATATAAACTATTTTTAGCTTTTGAAAAAATTTATTTCATTTTTTCCTCTTATTTTTTTTTTTCTTACATGTGCCATGTGCTTAAGAAGAATTTTATCCAAACAAAACCTACTAGTTTTTCTGTGCTGGTTTGACATTATCGATCATTGCAACCTCAAATTTTATCTAGACATGCATGCCATTATGGTAGTGATAATGATTAATGAACTGAGGAGGTAGAAGTATTTAAAGTAAATATTAACGAAGATGCTAAATAAAACTGGGTAAAATTATAAGGACTAATTGTATATAAATTTATATATCTTAATGTTTATAAGCTCGAAGAGCAGAGGTAGAAGTACTAAAGTAAATCAGGCCAGACATTGTGGGGCTACATACTAGTAAAACAAACTTAATTATGTTAGTTAGCACATAGCATGCTTGCTTAAATATGTGAGCTATCTATCAGCTGGTGTGAATAATATATAGTAGGAATCAAGCATAGCCCATTTCGTCTTCTTGCAGTTAACCCAAATGATTCACTCATGTCAAGTTCTTCATGTTTGATTCCATTAGGAAGCCTCCAATCAAAATGGTAAAGCAACTTAGCAAGTGGCAACTCAATGTCAGCAATGGCAAATGCAATGCCTGGACACATCCTCCTTCCAGCACCAAATGGTATAAACTCAAAGTTTGTGCCTCTAAAATCTATTGAACTCTCAAAAAATCTCTCTGGCTTAAATGTCTCAGCGTCACTCCAATACATAGGATCTCTTCCAATAGACCAAGCATTGATGAGGACCCTTGTTTTAGCAGGTATCTCATATCCATTGATCTCACATTTTTCCTTGCTTTCTCTAGGAAGCAACAGTGGTGAAGGAGGGTGTAGCCTCATTGTTTCTTTGATGACACATTTCAAGTATGTCAATTGGTCCAATTCAGTCTCATCCACATGCCCTTTGCTGTTATACACCCTTCTCAACTCAGCTTGTGCCTTTTCCATCACCTTTGGATTTTTCACCATTTCTGACATGCCCCATTCCACAACTGCTGATGATGTTTCGGTTCCAGCACTGAACACATCCTGCAAATTAACAGATTAAGGAATTGTGATAGGTTTCGATCAATAATAGAGAATGCATTGAAAAGTGTGTTAGAGATGTGATAGATTTCGTCCAATAATTGAGAATGTATGGAAAAGTGTGTTAGAGAATGTATGGTGAAGTTTTTGATTTTGGAACAATACTTATGTGGTTGTAATTTTCAACAATGAGGCCCCTGAAGTGTGTTAGCTATTAAATTGTGTTATTTATTTTTGGTAAGTTCTTTAAAACGTACAAAAGGTATTAACTAATATAGAAGCAAAACGGGTTAATAATTAAGTTATTCTAGTGAAGTGCGGTTAGAACACCACGTTTCCATGGAATGGCTTCAAAGTAATATCATCTTTTACTTCTAATTCATTTCTCAAACAGATAACCAATTTAGGGTGCTACATATACCACGATAAGTACAATGAAAAATATATCTATTCTGAATTAGCATTAAAGTATATAGTTTATTTCTTCCGATTCTTTTTATAAAACTTAATTACCTAATTCAATAAATTTAAGAAAGTTAATTAAGTTAGTTAATAATAATAAATTTATATTTTTTTTAAAGAAATTATTCCTAATCTTAGACCAAAACTAATTCTAGTTAATTGAGTCGAACAAATTTATTAGAATATAAAATTATCCTTCCTTTTTCATTCCCAAAATTCAAATTAAAATCGTGATTAAGATAAGGTCAATAAGGTTATTGTCTTATGCCTCCAACCAATTTTTTTCAATATATATATATA